GTTTTACTGTACTTATTTGTAACAAAAGTTTATTGTGATAAAGCAAGCAGTGAATTTGATATTTTTTAGCGAGCAGACAGTGATCTAGACGAGGCAACGTCTTGTTGTAATAGGTGTAACAGTAATGAGGCAGGAATTACTTTATAAATGCAATGACAATTCCAGTGTTGATGGTTTATCTAACAATTAGCCATTTTGTCCAACAATCTGCTTGGACGTCAAATTAAAAGATGCCGATTTGCATCACATCAAGTTTGATTTGTTCACGGATGTATGTCAAAGTGATACCTGTAGCAGCTCCTGCACTCATACCTACATTTTGAAACATATGCAGCAATTTTATTTCCAAAAGGTCAGTTTTCAACTTTGTATGTTTCATTTTTGTTCATAAAATGTGAATTCTAGAAATGTCAAGGTCATTTCTAAGAAAAATATCAATATTTAGTTAGTTGGCTTTTTAAACCACTTGCCCGATGATTTGACCCTTCATAACCAATGATAAGGTGACCTGAGGTCAAGATCTGAATGGGTCAAGGTAATTTAAAGGTCAAAGGTCAATATCTAGCAATTTGACGTTTTGAGGCAATTGAGAACAATTGTGACATTTGGCGACCAATGATGAGGAGACCTGATTTCAAGGTAATTTCTCGGTAGTTGGCTACTGTGGGTCTACAGTAGCATTTGATCACCAATGATAAAGTGACCTACGGTCAATGTCATTGTTTAGGGTCATGGTCATCTCAAGGTCATAGATCTAAATCTATCTAAATATTTGGTGTTTTGGGGATGCTGCTTCACGTGAGGACCCATGAATATGTGTCCTGAGGTCAAGGTCATTCCTACAAGGTCAATATCTCAGTATTTGGAGTTTTGAGCCCCTGGGGGCTGCTGTGGCCCTTTGCAACTCATGTTAAGGTGACATGGAGTTAAAGTCAATACCTATGGTTCAAAAACATTATAAGGTATGTCTAGGTATTTGGCCTTTAAAGGCACTCAGGGGACGAAGTAGCCCTTGGTGACCCATTATTAGGCGACTTGAGGTCAAAGTTATTACTGATGGGTTAATGTCAATTCAAGGTCAATATCTAGGTATTTGGATTTATTTTTACGGCCATGTTGGACTGCTGTGACCCACTCGAACAATAGATTGCTAGTATTATTAAAGATAAACAAGAATATAGCGGGAGGATGGGAAAATTGTCTAACCAAACCTGGGACCTTCTAGTCTAGATTCTGATGCTCTACCACCTGAACTAAACAACCAAGCTTAAAAGATACAATTCCTTAAAAAGAAATCATGGACCGATATTGTTTTGTTTAGATTAATATGTCAAATCAATTTTCCATTGCAATTCACGTAGTGTAATACACTTTATCAATTGAGATTTTAAAAATAACAGTCGATCATTTCTGTTTTATGATGGTTTGAATAAAATTTGCTTATTTGAAATACAATTTTAACAGAGGAGATCGAGAGGTTATCCAAATATGAGGTCATATTGATGACTGCACTCAGTAATCTTCAGTCAAGTTGACGAAGTTTTTCATGAAAGAGTTACCTTCTATTGTGGTTCTGAATTGAATCTGTATAAGCAGATGTGTTTCCAAAAATGCAAATTTAAAGCAAATTTCGCAGAATTTAGTTATCGATATGTAGAGATAGTCCATTAGGGTATGGTTAAAAACAATGATGGTCAAAATTTGGTACACCTGACTGTAAAATGCTTTTTTATTCAAAAGTCAATGATATTATTCTTATTTTACCTATCAAATGATTTTCATATATCCGAATAACCATTATATTAGTTTTTGGCAAAGTAAATTATTGTAGGGGTCACACAAGGATCAACTGTATTGACGATTTTTCATACTGATATATGCCCTGCCGCTCTAAGAGCAAGAGCAATGAATTGTGATTTTTCAGTTGAAACAACAAAACAAACACATTATCATTATTTTGTTTAATATTTAACACATAGAATTGTGTTAAACGTAGTATTTTTACAAAACATCACTAGATATGAAAAAGTTGTAAATAAAGTTGATCCTTGTCTGAGCCCTATTATTATTTACTTTGCCAAAAACTAATATAATGGTATTTGTAATACTTAAAAAACATTGAACAGGTAAAATATGAATATTATTGTTAACAATGGTGACTTTTGCATTAAAATGGCGTTTTAAGGTCAGAAATATATAATTCTTCACCATTATTGTTTTTAATAAAAATGACCACACACAAATAGAGTATCAAACATATCAATATTAAAGTTTCCTCCTATTTCGTATACTCGCTGCTATTATTTGAAAAAAAAGTGATTTTTTCAAACTCATCTTTTTGATGGTCGATCCTTGGGGCAAGCCGTGTAGCCCTTTCGTGTCACCTTTTTTACTGCAGACAAGTAAAAATGAATAGTCAATGAACCAATCTATAATGACTATGGGTCACTTGATAGTAACCTACCTCAACATCAGTTTATGGGATTTTCTGGAGTTTTGGCGCACACTATATAGCTTTTATGCTGCATCTGAATCAAATGTCACAGCAAGTGATAGACTTTCAACTTTGATCCCCCTCCATTCAACTACACTATTATGTATAGTATCGTTGCTCGTATCATGATCTGAGTATCGAGATACGTATCATATCGTTTCATAATGTATCGTGGGACCCCTAGTGTACATGTAAGTGAACTTGTGACCTATAACCATTCATGGGTGTATAGCCAGCGTTCAGTCAGGGGGGGTTGTATGATCACCAAAAGATTTTGGGGTTTTCAGTCAGGGGGGTGCGAGCCAAAAAAACTTTTTTAAAGGTTTGTTTTGCTCTATTTCAGGACTTAGCTCAAGTTTTATCATTGATCTGGGAATAAGCATTTCAGATTCATGTGTTCCACTTACTGTAAGTCTTGGAATAGCACTGACATCCAAATAGGAATACTTGCACAAGTGAAATACTTATCCCACCGAACGAAGTTTGAGGGGGATATAGAGAAGCCGTCCGTGCGCTACTTGCTTTTCCTGCTTTTCCTCTTTTCCTCTTTGCATGCTTAATTCCCTTTGTGGTTTGCACTTTCACCTTTTATTGACTTTGTGTACCAATATTGATGTGGCTGAGTTGGAGTATTTTGGTAAGTGGTCCGAAAATGACTTTAAACTATACAAATTTTTCCGGTTTCTACACATGGTGTATAGTCTAAATAGTCCATTAATCCCATACCCTAACAGGTTAAACATATTTTTTAAATAAAATATATATATACATATGATTTTTTTAAATAGTTTAAAATACTGAGTAAATGGTTTAGATATATGAATAGAAAAATAAAAAATGAAATAAATAAAAAATGTTAACTATAAAAATGGAAAACAAATGAAAAATGTTAACTATAAAAATACACCGTACACTGAAGCGTTCATGGACTTGTTAATATAGTTCAGGGACCCAGTTATGTCTTACTTATTGAATCCATGCAGGGAAGGGGAGTGTTTCCATGGACTAAAACGTTAAACCCACCTATGCCCAGTCACAAGCCTGAGGAACCTGCTTTTATATCTAATGTGGATTTTTATCTTACCAATCATGACTTAAATATTAATATGGGTATTTCCTATAATTGATATATACTGGATTTTAACTTACCAAATATGACTTCAATATTAATATGGGTTTAAACCTATAATAAATTAAATACTGGATATGACAAATAAATAAAATCAATTATAATCTACCTACATGATGTAGATATCTAAATGTTGGTCTGAATTTATCTTTGTGGAAAGATTGTATGCTTCAGTTGCTCTTTAACAAAACATGTGGGACAGTGTATCTACATATTACAAGACATCCGTCCGTTCGTCCGTCTATCCGTCCATCCGTCCGTTCGTTTGTCCGTGTGTCCGGGCGATAACTCCAATACCAGTTGACGGATTTGGTTCAAATTCTATAGGCTTATGCTTTATGAGTGTAGGAGAAGGAATTTTCAATATGGCCACTCAATTCAAAATGGCCACCATTTTTCGTAAAAAATGTAATCGTTGATAACTCAAATACAAGTTGACGGATTTGGTTCAAATTTTATATGATGATGCCTAGGGACAAAGGAGTTTCGCACAAAAAGAGATTTTCAAGATGGCCGCTTAATTTCAAAATGGCAGCCATTTTTCGTAAAAATATGTAATCTTTGATAACTCAAATACCAGTGAATGGATTTGGTTCAAATTTTATATGATGATGCTTAGGGACACTGTTGCTATATTCGACAAAAATTTTTCAAGATGGCCGCTTAATTTCAAAATGGCGGCAATTTTTTGTAAAAAACGTAATCTTTGATAACTCAAATACCAGTGAACAGATTTGGTTGAAATTTTATATGATTATGCCTAGAGACACAGTAGCTCTGTTCAAGAAATAATTTTCAAGATGGCAGATGAATTTCAAGATGGCGGCCAATTTTTGTAAAAAACGTAATGATAACTCATATACCAGTGAACGGATTTGGTTCAAATTTTATATGATGATGCTTAGTTCACAATGGTATAAACTAACTTTGTGCCAAATTTCATGCTTCTATCACAAAGTGCACAAACATTTCAACATTTACACTAGCTATAATAAGCATAATATGTTTTGTTCGGTGGGATTTGCTACTCCGTGGCGTTGCTGTTTTTCTAGTTTAAATTACAAATTCCCTTAGGATTTTCAAAAATATAGATCTGAAAATTGGCAGATTTTTAAATTGGCAGATTTCTTCAATCTGCCAATCCATCAAATTAAAATGGTAGCCAAATTAAGTGTATCTACAGTATCTGTTGATTTTATTTTGCAACCTGATGTATACCATGATTGTGGTATCATAAGCCAAGGTCATGAATTAATGTTTAACATTTAATGTATGCGGTGAATTACTGTTTATAGGATATTTTGACAAGAACATTATCATTGCACTGAACAGACTAATGTGTATATGTTGCAATCAAAATAATTTCATTTATTACAGTCATGAGAATATAAGCAGAAATACAGGAGGATTAAAGTGAACACACAATTCAATGGATTCACAGATTTAAGGCAGACATTTTCTCAAATGAACAACTCTGTATACATAATATGAAAGGGAGGTAAAGTGGACATGAACTTATAGAGACTAAGATGGTCAAGGTCAATGAGGCAGAAGTTACAATTGTGCCATTTGACCCAGATAAACATGATTGGAAAGTGGTCCAAAAGGTGGCATACTTGGGAAATACTGAACCTGTCCAAGATGCATTATTATTACAACTGTTTAATCTTCGTCTTATGGTCCCTCTATTGATGTCCTCTCTTGCTGTTGGTATCTCTACATCATTGTGGTATCTAGGGATACTTGCATTTCTCTCCCAATGTCTTGGATTTTATCTTTACAATATGGAGTATGTTGTAAAGTATCAACTATTCTCAACATATGCTGACTATAATGAGAAATTCACAAAGTTTTGGACAACATCTCCAAATTCATTGTGGGTAATGGAGTATCAAGGGAACATTATTGGAACCATTGGATTAAAGTTAGATGATAAATATGAGTGGGAAATTACCAGAGTTGGAGTTAAGAAGAACTATAGAGGAAACAAACTGGCTAAATTACTCTTAGGGACTGCTTTCAATCATTCCAAACAAAATGGATATAAAACAATAACTCTCAGTGTATCTGAAGTATATGGACATGTTGCATGTAAATTATACACGAAAATGGGCTTTAAAGTCTCTGAAATATTCTGTATGCCAATTCCACATTTTCCAGTGTTACCATTAGTACCACCATCAAAAATGGTCTCAATGAAAAAGGATATCTGATTTGGATTTTTAAATGAATTGCCTTTGATCTAAGAACATACCAAGTTATACATATTCTGATTTTATATATATGTGGATAGCCTAAGCATTACGCAATTAGAAAAAGACTACAGTCACACTAATTTGACTTGATTTTTGTTTTGGCCTAATTATATAACTCCACTTGCGAATGGCCCAGTTGTTTATAAATGTAGGAAGTTCTTGTTTTCTTTGGTCTCCTTTTTTCTTTGAATGTATACTTAAATAATGTATACTTAAATACAAAACTGTGAACTTTCTGATTCAATGAAAACTAGAATTAAGAAACATTTGTAAATTGTTTTTAATTTGTATAATTTAAAATGTTGAAATAAAAAAATTAAAAGAAAGTATTTTTAGAAACCGTTTTTATGAATTCTTATTACACAATACAAAAGTAACAGCAAAGGCAGAATATGAGCAGGTACTGAGTATAGAGTTCAGTTGAAGAAACTTAAAAATTACAATATCACCTTGATAAATATATGAAAGCTTGATTGCTTCCTCAATGTTGTGTCATATAAGCGACGTTCACTCCAACGGCGCTTTGATGGCGCTTTAAAGCTGCTTGTAAAGCGGCACCAAAGCATAACAAAGCTTGATTAAAGCATCGGGGTCATAATAGGTCGTAGTAAAGCTCGGAGTAAAGCGGGATATTCGGCAAGAGCGCCAAAAAATTTTAAACTGTTTAAAAATTTTGGGGGCTCTGTTACGAATTGATTAAGCGCTGAAAGCGTATCAAAGCTTAATAAACCGTAACAAAGCTCAGCAAAGCTTGACCAAAAGTGTAGGAAAGCTTAACAGAGCTTGGTTCAAAGCGGGGACCCCAGTCTCTTCACGGTCTCAAGATGTCTCAAGATTTGCTACGATCTGGCATCAAGATCTGACACGAGGACAGACGTTTTCATCAATATTTGACACTCTTCGTTACGCTTTCATGAAGGACTCTCAAGCTTTCCAACGAATTGAGACGCTTCAATCAAGGATTGAAATGCTTTGTTAGGCTTTGTTACGCTTGACAAGCTTCCTCATGCTCTCTCACGCTTTTCACGCCGTGCGACAAATATCATGTCTTCTTCAGATAGGTCATGCTCTGGTCCATCTGAAATTTCTAGATCTTGTTGTTCTGCCATCGTGTTCTCGAGTCAAAGATGCAATGGTTTTATGGATCTACTGCATCTTTATATAGTCATTGGATCAAAAGCAGCATGAAATCAGCCATCTCGACATTTTCCAATGTGTGACAAAGCTTAACAGAGTGTAACAATGCACAACAGAGCTTGGCAATCGTATCAGAGCCTGATTTAAAGCGTCATAATCGCATCAAAGTGTTATAATGCTTATCAAAGCTTATCAAAGTGTGATTTCAAGCGTAACAAAGCCTGGTCGAAGCGGGGTCAAAGCGAGAGGAACCGTAATAAGTCTGGAAATCAGAGCGTATCAGAGCTTAGGGGATCGTGATATTTTTGAAAAAGTAAACAAAAATGATGGCGCTTTGCTCACCGATTTAAAGCGTGGTATTCGCCGTTGGTGTGAACATAGCTTAAAGGAACATCATGTTTTTCTAGGTTACTGCAAATGAAAAAATGATGCTGAACTTTCTAAACACTAAGATGACAAAGATCAACAATGAGGCAGAGGTTACCATTACAAAGTTTGACAAAAACAAGCACAAATGGAAAGAGGTCCAACTGTTTATGAACCTACACAAGATGCAGTGCTATTGTTGTTCAGCCTTCGTGTTTTGGCACTTTTATTGGTATTCTCTTTGGCTGTTGATTTTGCTATACATCATAATGGTATCTTGGGATATTTTCTTCACTTTTTCAGTGTCTTAGTGCATATTGAAAAAGGATTTTCCTTTAAAATGTAGATTGCAGTCTGAATATTCCCCATACTGATTGTTGAAATCTTCTAATTTCCTTTAAATATAGATGAATACAACTAAAAAAGAAAAAAAACAGTCATATAATTGAACTTGTAGATTTGTTTGTCTAGAAATATAAATTGGAGAAAAAGATATATTTTATAGTTTATCATGTGTTAGTATTTGGAAGATCCTGCCACCATGTGGTAATATCTTGATTTCTTGTTTTTGGAAGGCTGTCTATCCTTATGATAGCCCCAAATATATCTCACTTCTTAGGATAAAGGCCCCCACTTTTTAAAAATCATTTTTTATATTTTGTATATGTTCATGGCATATTTCTTGCCAATTTTTAGATCCTTTCTTGAATTTAAACAAGCCACTTCCATTGTTGATCTAGAGTGATGCAAATACATGTATACTAGCTTCTGTCTCATTGGCTCTTCAAGAAATAACCCTCTATTCAGAATCAATATGAACAATGATGTTTTTTGTTTATATCCACCTAAGGTCTAATATTACTTCATTGCTCTATAGATTTGGCATGAAAAAGCAATCTTGTTTTATCATGAAATCGTGATTGATGACAGACTTCGTTTCAGATACCTGTGATGTTTGGATGTATTAACCAGAATTCAGATTCTGATCTTTTCTGTATTGTACATTCAATTGTTAATTTACGATTTTGTCATAAAGGAGTGGTATCAATATGGAGAACTTTTTGAACACACGTTTCTCTAAAACCAGTCATAAAAAAATCTACAAATTTAAAACATCGTCAATTTAATGGTCATCTTTTGAATGGTAACAATATAATTTGAAAAATATATATATACTTTCATCTATATTGTTTTAGAAAACACATCAAACACTTGTTTTGTTTTTAGAAAATAAGCCTAACATTTTTTAAAAAGTGCCCAGATGGGGTCCTAAACCATAATTTTTCATAGAGTTGGATAGATATTTTACTATCACGGGAACTTCACTTGAAAGAAAACATATTGTTTTTATAAAAACCACTGTTACGTATTTATGGCTGGAAAGTACTCATGGTGAAAGATATGACCATCTAAAATCTTGCCATACTGCACATGGACCTTTACGATTTTATGGAATAAAAATAATACAGCGGAACGCAAGCTCTATATTATATTACGAATGTTGATGATTTAAAAACCCAATTTCAATAGCTCCATGCTCATGTTTCACATTCTAAATATCTCCCACTATTAATGAAATAAGAAGTTATTTTCTCAAGGGTACACACGATACACGCGAGGTATTACTACTTCTTGGTGTTTGAAATGTTTGAAATCATTGTCCAAACCGTCCTAGTTTGCGACGTTAAAAACAAAAGACGACTAGGACAAGTTTAGGGAGTAATTCAGAATCAGTTTTAACATTTTTTCCATATAGTTGTCCTATCGTAAATTATTTACTGCAGAAATTTACGGAAATGTTCAGAATCGGACTCCTGTATCTCAACAGGATGATTGTCAAGTCTTTCTCATTCAGTGTTGTTATAGTATATACCAGCCAGTATAGCCACATACTGATTTATTCTTATTGGAAGAAAATTAATATCCAATAGCTTGGACACTTCTTTCTTTGGCTAAGCTTCAATTCACTTCATTGTTTGTGCATTAATTAGTTTTTCCAATTTATTTATAATATTACCACCAACCTACATGCTTTATAAATTATACCAGATTATGGTCTCAGGATTATCTATCACTAAACACTCTCCTAATGCAACTAATGTCAGTGTAGTTGGTGAAATGTCCATACTACTCCACTATGTGAAGTATCAGAATCCTAATTAAACTAAATAATCATACTATATCATAGAGAGTATCACTTCTGGGATCTAAAATTTCTTCATATATGGATTTTGAGAAGGGGGGGGGGGTAGACCAGGCGCAAAAGGCAAAGTATTAAATGGAATAAAATATAATAGAACCACCAAGAAATATTAAACACATGCACAGAGTGAATCATAGAAAGCAAGAAAATTGTATTCTTCTTAAAGATAGATTTGGGATGAAATATAAACAAGAGATATAAAGATATAAATATAGTGAGAATAACAGATTATCTTTCAACAAAAGGCAGTCTTACATGATATGAATCAAGATTTCATGATTCTTGAATGTCTACCTCATGCCTATTGCTGATAAGTTGTACAATTACATGCTGATTTCTCATATTAGTACAGAGATAATATACTGGAAATGAGGTAAAAATACCAGCCAGTTCTTCATTGATGGAATATTTGAGATTGTATGGTACATCTGGATAGGATATTATACACCAATGACATAATGTTATCATAGATCATGGATTTGTGTGCTTTATATCATTTGCTTTAGAAAGATTAGCATCCACTATCATACACTATCAAAATTCATGATACACCAGGTACTTTTTTCTTGCTTTTTCATTTGTTTTTAGCTTTGTGTCTAAAAACTGATTTTTTAAAGTAGCATTATTACTAGCATATTAGTTGGAGAGTAACCTTCTGTATTACATACATGAAGTGTGTCTGTGAATCACTTTTGCATTTTTATATACTAATATTTGAATGGTTTATGGGTTGTATATGTTATATGCTGTTTATTCTTTGTCTTTTCATTATGTTGCCTCTAACATTTTCTCAGTCTGTATTTTTTCTCATTGCCCATATTATAAGGGTTAAAAAAGTGAATGAAGTACAAAAAATACAGTTTGTATTAATTGAACTATTCATTGTCTAATCTTTCCATATTTATTCTAAGATTATATTTTGTGCTAAAAGACTTTTTTTATGTGGTGACCATATATAACACAGGCTTGTAACAAGTGAAATTTTGTTAATCCTGAAATAAAAATGCTAAATGGACGCATTAAAGACAGAAATGCCAATGATATGTAATGAATCTATTAAAAATGAACAATTCAAAATAGACAGAAAAAATCATCCTTGCTGCAAGGGTATTTTACAAGTATATACCCTTGCTTCTCTCAATTCAATTGTTGGACTTGTGCAAACAAACTGGACATTAAACAATATTAGCCTACACCACATACCCTAAGAGAACTACCATGTTTAAACGTAAACCATGATACCATGGTATACCATGTTTACCATGGTCTATCATGATCGGCAATGAAATTACCATCAACTCTGACCATGGTGGCAATGATGTTTTTTTGGTCAATTTTTGACTATGGTATACCATGGTATATCATGTTACACCATGTTTCATGGTATTTCATGTCCAAAGTTTGCCATCAAATACCATGGTATTTCATTGCTGTCAATCGGCCACTAGGTGAAAAAGACCAATATTTGTTTTCTGCGCAGGTTTTCTGCGCACCTACTTTCGGTTGAAACATTAAGTCTATTTTCAT